CAGTCGGACAAAATTGTCTAGACTTCTCTTTTTCTTTATGTTAAGGAAGTTTTTAGTACGATAGGTCATGTTTGGGCATGTATGCAAATGAAGTGTCGAGCAGTGCTTTCTATTAGGAAATTAGATATATAAGGAGGAATTATAAGTTCTTGTATTAAGTTAATTCTTAGGCAGATTAGCCATCTGTAACTCTTTATCTAATAAATGCGTAAAGTGCGACTGTCAAAGGAAAAAAAAAAAAAATAGTTCATAAGATAAAACTAGTAGCACAACAAGTGATAAAGATGATGAAGAGAGCAATAATATTAGTACTGACTCAATAAATATCTTAGACAATGATTTTAATATTCAAAAACAAATCACAAGATAATTGGTTAAAAGAAAATTTAAAGAACCTTCACCTATTAATGACGATGATGATATGAACATTGATGAAACTTTGGAAAGAACTTATTCATTTGATATATATCAACTATTAGTTGAAGATGATATTATAATATTAAAAGAAGAACAATCTAATGGCTCTCCAACACCAAGTAAATCTTTAAGTAGTTCAAGAAAATCATCCACAGATTCACAAGATCAGGATATGATTAATTTTATTCCACCAATAATTGATCCAGAAAATTTTGATCCACTGGTCAATTTTGATGATAAATAACTGAATTGGATTATTTTGTGGATAATGATATATTAACAAAGATATAATATACTCGATAATAGATTGGATACATTAATTAAATTTCTTTAAAATATGTTAATTCATTACAAAGTAGATAGAGCCAATAGGCTACTGACATCTATAAATACAATTAAATCATCTTTAGGAATTTCAACCAAATATAGAAAATATGTCATATGCCCAAAATGGTATAAACTCTATGACTCATCAGAGGTAGAAGATATTTGTGCTAACAAACAAGAATGCAAAAAGTGTACACATGTTGAATATCCCAAACATAGAGTAAAAGCACAGCGATTAGCTTGTAATAAACTATTAGCAGTGTTAATAAAAACAAGAGATGGTACTTTAATGTGACTATCTAAACTTTATCCAGTTGGCAGTATAAAGCAACAGCTTTATATGATGTATCAGCAAGCAGGCTTTGAGAAAATGTTACAGCATTCTAAAAATAGATATATACCAGATAGAATATACTCAGATATATATAAGGGCAATATCTGGCATAATTTTACTATAGATCTGATAATCCTATACTATTTTTTACTGATGATATGCATGATATACATATCAGCCTTATTATTAATATAGATTGGTTTTAACTATTTGACTATACATTACACAGTACTGAAGTGATATATGGGGTTTTGTGTAATTTGTCACGTGAAGAGAGATTTAAGCCAAATAACATTTTAACATTAGGTATTATTCCTAGACCAAATGAACCAAGTAAACATCAAATTAATAACTATCTTGCACCAATTGTTGATGAGTTAGTTGAATTTTTTAAGGGTATAAATATTCCTACAATATACGAATATAAAGAAGGATAAAAGATTTATATTGCATTAATATTAACAGCAAATGATGTTCCTGTTGCAAGAAAGATTAGTGGTCATACAAGTTATGCTGTGAAATATTATCGGTGTTCAAAACATGCAAAATATAACAATATATCCAAGAGAAATTACTATGGCAGTTTTGATGATATGGATGAATGGTTTAAAGAAGTTGATATTTTTGAATATTTTGAAGTAGCAAAACAGTGATTAAAATGTATAAATAAACAGGAACATGATGACCATATTAAAAGTACAGGAGTAAGATAGTTGGAACTATATCAGCTAAAATATTTTGATCCAGTTAAATTTATAGTAGTCAATCTGATGCATTGTCTATTCTTTGGAATTGGAAAGTAAATATTGAAGTAATATTTACTCGATAATAATAAACTTAGCAAAAATGATCTTATAACAATTGAAAAATGTATGTCAAATATTAATGTTTCATTGGATATAGGTCATATTTTATCAAAACCTTTCACACATGGGTTTAGACAATTTACTGCAGATCAATGGAAGATTTTCTATCAAGTTTATGCTATTCCATGCATGTAGGATAAGTTAGATTTAGGTGATAAAGAAATAATCTTCAATTTTGTCTGTGCATGCAATTCATTAATAAGCTGAATAGTGAAGCAAGCTGACCTAGATGAAGCACATCAATGATTAATAAGAATAGCTAAGTTAATAGAGAAGAATTATGGTTCAGAATTAATATCATCAAATATTCATTTGTCTTTTCACTTTAGGCAATGTTGTCTTGATTATAGACTACCTTATGCCTACTGGTGCTTTTCTTTTGAAAGGATGAATGGCTTACTAGGTACATATCCAACAAGCAATCAGTTAATTGAATCTGAGCTTATGCACATTCTAATAAAAAATATACAGGTAGAATATATCATAAATTCTGATATTGGTAAAATTGAATTGTTAAGAGAAGTTCTTCTACTTTTAGAAAAAAGAAAAGTATGTAGAAGTTTAAAGATGACAGAAAACTTTAAAAGTGAGGAATTAATAGCATATCTTGAAAAGGCAGATAAGATTGATACAATAGCAGATATCATGGGAACAGGGAGATATCTTGAAGAGATGCTTAAACCAAAAATAGAAAATGTAGATCTTCCTAAAAAAGTTTATCAAAATTTGAAAGATTATTATAATACACTTTATAATATTACATTGCTATCAATAAAACTAACAGCTACTGAATATGGAAGATTAAAGATAGGATCAGAAACTTATGGTTTGAAGATTGCTTCAAGATATGAAAAATGCTCATATATCAGAGCAAAATTTATTGCCTTAAATGATGATATAGAAGATATATATCTGGAGCAAATACAATTATTTTTACAACACGAATTTAATGATAATACACACTATTTTGCCTATATTCGATAGTATAAACCATATTATATCTACAGATTTTATTTATTACTAAAAGATAATAGGCGATATAATATAGAAATCTGGAAAGAAACATTTTATGAAGAATCAAGAGACTGTATAATTCCTGTGCAAAGAATATTAGACCGATTTATTCCTTCATACTATAAATTTCTATATGATAATAGTACACAACAAGTATTAGTAGTTATTCCTAAAAATAAGTGATTTAATATATAAATAAAAGCAAAAATTAGTAAT